AAATTAAATAAAAAAATAATTATTGTTAAATAGACATCTGCATGAATGTACTCGTACAATGAATCCACATCCACATTCATGGATGTTAAGTCGTATTCAGAGTACACAACAACATATAATGAGTGCAAATGAATTCAACCACCGAAGTTGTGTTGTTCTTCGTTGTGCTTTGTCCGATCACACGATCAAACTTGAAAGCACAACATTCAGTATGATGGACTACAAGAACAAGTTATACAACATCAATGAGTCCAATGAGTGAACATCATGCAATGTATTTTGTATTCTGTGTATTCATTCAACGGCTTAACATTGATGGTGGGCATTTATTGTACAGGTACATGCAAATATTTACCTTGTACACTCTTTAAAACTTTATTAGTGAGCAATAGTGAGAAATAATGTCTTTTATTTTTTTCTATTGAATACAAGTAAATAAAAACTCCAGAAAAATAAGTAAAAGTTAAATGAAATGATGTAAGAAAAATCGGCGGAATCTTCCTCAAGGGATATACAAAAATAGGCCTATGCAGAAAATTAGAGTACAAAGTTATATGAGGAGTACAAATAAGTATTTGCGGAAATACATATGCATTTTTTTGGGACTTAAAGACTTTTCATTTGTTCTTTATGTTTTTGTGGACGTAGGTCATTTTCTTACAAATTGTCTCTCATTACATTTCCTAATTTCTGTAATAAATTTGTACTTTTGTTGATTTTTTACATGATAATATTATTAAGTAGAGTAGAGATTGTTTATTAAAAAATATGAATAAAAATAATTAAAACGTCCTTAAGTTCGACAGGGCCGACCTTTTTATACTCACCGCCGCGAGGTGAACAGTCATTTTTAAATTGATCGGTATTTTTATATGGGTTTTATGCCCTGGTAAATAACTACCAAGAGAAATATCAAAAATAGAGACTATTGGAAATTTGGACTAGGACCTTGTACATACCGAAATCCTCAAATTGTCAAAAATTTAGTGTACAGTTTTGTTGGGTCTATACCAAATCGCGGACAGATAACGATAATTTTTTTGTAAAAAAGGATTGGACACACAATGAGAACCCAAAATAACAAATTAGAACCTACTCGGTTGAAAAACGTATCCAAAATACCGAAAAATGGGGTAAGGTAATATGGGGGAACTCCAAAACTTGGACCAATATTGATAATTTAGAGTCCTAAATATAAAATTACAGTCGTTTGAAAAACGTACCCAAACCTACCAAAATTTCGAATATTGGGCGGTACCCTAAAAAGTAGACCAATATTGATATTTTTTGTTGGAAGGTGTGCTACCCATAAGTACCTAAAATACCAAACTACAGACAATTCGGCTGAAAATCATGTCCAAAATCCTAAATATGAAATGTGGACTTAAAGCCTTTACGTGATGTTAAGTCAGTGACATGTGATGAATTGGACTTAGCGCCTTTACTCATCAATACAAAACAACAATAACAAAAGAGATAAATATATTTTAATTTTTTTAGATCGATGTATTTTGGCTTTTTATACATAACTGTATCAAAATCTCAATTTCTAGATAAATGGACTTGTGTCCTTTTCAAATTAAGCCAGCGAAAATGTTTTAAATATTTTGTTAGTTACTGGCAGTATGAACATTTCCAACACTTTGCAAAGAAGGTTTATGCAAACGAGCGTTCGCACACACATTAAAAACACACAACAGTCATCGTCGTTCATTGCGTTGGTTATATAAGGGGGCCAATATTGATTACTTCTCGGGAGGATATACTTAATGTGGGCTGATAAAGGCCATTTTGGAACGTAACGGTTTAGTTTTGTATCTCGACACCCCCGAAGGTAGTAATATTACAACAGAAGTCTTAACATATTATAGGTTATGAACTGACAAGTTGTAGTACTGAATATCCCCCACACTATGGGGTATCCAATTCGAACCCAAATTAAAACGAATTTAAAAAAAGTGCGTTTAAAAACATCTAAATATTGAAAAAAGAAAAGTTCTGCTATATAGTGGATACATTACTAGATATTCATACATTTTGTCCTTATTAAGAATATATATACTTTATATGGGCGGAAATGACTATTTCGATGAGTTACAAAAAAAAAACATAACATAACATACCCTTCATACTTTTGTGGATGGTGTAAAAACCAAAATATCTCGTCAATTAATTCGGGTAATTCGAATACTACTGTATAATTCGACACACTCATTGTGTAAAACATGTTCGTGTACGAACTTGCCGCATTTGTTCAAACTTTGTGTGTTACAACATACATTCATACCGAAGTAAACATACACAATAAATACCGGTTCGTCGAGTCTGAAACGTGGATTGTATGAATCAAACGAATACACAACAAATTCGAAACTCTCATACCTGAAGCAATTCATATTTGTTGTACCCTCACTCATTGGACTTCATTTCAAACAAATTTATAGAATAGAAGCCATTACTTTGTGTGAGTGACTCATGGGTGGTGTTTTTGTGCATTCATGCAGATGTCTATTGTTAAAAAAATATTTTTTTATTACCCCTTAGACGATATTGAATTGATGTCGGTTTAGTATTTAAAATTGTTTACTAAATTAGAGATGGTTGATCGAGCTTGAGGTCATCAACCATCTCTAATTTATTAAACATTCGAAAGGTCGAAAAATCATAAACATAATTATAAAATTGTTTACCATTTTTTAACTAAATAATATTTGCAGAAAAAATGCAGGTCTATTGACAGTTTGATTTCTATTAATAAATGTATACATTTTAATTTCATTTAAATATATCAAACAAGCCGAAAGAAATAAAACAACAACATAAACATGAATATGGTGTGAAACAAACTTGTGGCTTAAAGCCTATGGAGATGTGAGGTGGTAAGTTTCTTTTTTAGATTAGCGAAGCCTTGGGGCACTTGTCTGCTTTGCAACACCACAGCAGAAACTTTCAAAACAGAAGACCATTCAAAAAGTTGTTTTTCTTTTCCGAAATTAAGAACATCAGCTTCTCCAAGTCTCAAGGTGTTTGCAATTCTAGGCAGCAGCGTTGAAATGGCAGGTTGTGTGAATGTTTTAATAAATTCGTTTCAGTTTTTGTGTTGACTGTAATTTTATGGCGGAATATAGAACAAAGTTTTTTCAAAAAACATAAAATTGAAATTTTTGGAATGTTTACAGTTTCAAAAAGGTGAGTATCAAGTACAATTTTGAATTATTTTTTGTTTATACATAATTACTAATAACAAGCAAGATTTTCCCTTACAAAATTGTTTACAAGCAAGTAGAGTTCACGAAACATCCATAGATCTCAAGCCATTCTCTGTAGGACTGCAACAACAGCAATTGACAATTATGAATATATGAATATATTTTTTTTTTGTATAATCAAACCCATATATTTTTGTCATATCACCACATATTGCATAATGGACGAAAAATAGAAGCATGGACCCTTTAAATAACAAATCACAACAACATTGAGACGTTCCCACCAATGCATCAATATTTTATTTTTGTGAAAGCTGTAGATATATCATCGATATTACTGTTGTTGTGTGTTGAATTATTTCCAAGCCATTACTGGCGACAGACAATTTCAACAGTTTATTCAAATGTTTGCCAAATTTGTAATGAAACGAGCAAGGGTTTGTTTTTATGCCGTATGTCATGCGTTATGCCGATGATGGTGGTGCCGGCATAAAAGATAAGTGAAAACATGTACTGTTGCAAGCTATCGCTCTTACCTTTTTTATCAAAATTATAATTTATTAAGCAGAATGCCTAACGCCTACAATGGTATATAAGATCGTTGATTCTGTAGATGAATTAGGTTTCGCCAAAGTTTTCCTAAAATTAAATTTTAGCTTGAAAATGGACATGTATCGGAAAAGCTGGATAATCCAGCCAGGCTTGCAACGCTATGCCTGCTAGTTCGTCAATGAAAATGATAAAAAATAAATGTTGTTTTAATGAAATTTGATATTACTTTCGATTAGCCTGAAAATCTCACAGGAAACATGAAAAATTTAAAAGCAACAATTTTAAATATACACCAAAGTTCGCATTACATTTTATTACTATTATAGACTAGGCAAATTAAATATATGCTTTTTGATAACATAGTGATATTTACCGATACATGATTGATTTGTGCAGCTTCTGCTTACGATCTTTTTAATCCTTTGAAATAGATTCCTTCTGCTTCTCTGAGTAGGCCGCCTTTGATATTATGTTAAAAATTATATTTGTCTATTTTTAGGCTTAAAAGGTCAAAGAGGTCAGTCAATCAAAACAAAATTGGAATGTACCATTACCCCCATGAGAGGAACAGCACATCACTTCCAATTGCATTGATTGATTTTCTTATTTGCGGAAATGTGAATGTCGTTACACCTTGCTTTTAATTTGCATTTATATTTTTTGTTCTTTTCTTCGCACAAAAGCAAACGGGTTTGGGGTAACAGGGACGATGTACAGCAAAGAGGACGACATCGAAACACTGCCAATGTTAATATATTTCACCTTCAATATTTTGTTCTTCTTCGTTGTCTTCTCTGTGTTTCTACATGCACTAGACACAAAAGCAAGCTACTGCCCTCCTACAGAATTACAAACCTATTGTATGCCTGGGTTTGTGTGCTCTTCAACTTATACAATATATGCCATAATCTCTTAAAAGAAATCACAGCCTAAAAGTAGACAAACAAAACCTACCAAATGATTAGAAACACAAATAAGAAGGATGGGGCACAAAACTGAAAATGGCAGAAGAATGTCTGTGGGCGTGATAATGATTAATATTAAACCGGCTAAATAACTGGCACATCCAATACAGCATGGTCATATATAGCGTATTGTATTGTATTATATTAAAAACATTCTTCAGTATATGTCCGAGTGCTAACATACGAACTGTATATTTTTTAATTTTGAATATCATAACAAAAAATAGCAATAACAGAAAGAAATGGTCATTTAAAATAATAAATAATTGATTACCTTTGCTTATATCCATTATAACCATATGGTGGATAGTAAGAAACGTTTCGAACATTTTGACCATACATGATGGCTTAAATTAAAAATATGATGAAAACTGAAAAATTAAAGAAAATAATAGTGTTATAAAAAAGGAAAAATAAACACATAAAGCAAAAAATATAAGTATCATAAGTTTTTGTATACAATCCCCACATAATTTACCGACAATAATGAACAAGAAAAAATTTCAATATTTAAAATTAACATCCGAATTTATATCGGTTCCCGAGACAAGCAAATACCAATAATTATAATGTATATCGGTCCTTACTATTGCATGACATCGGACGAGAAAGAAATAACCTATTTCCGGGATAAGGACCTCTAAAGTTCCGCATGGACCCCTGTACTGACCGGCCTTCCCCCTAGACTTTAGGACTTTCTCCTATGGGCAGATGGTAACTTCGGCTACGCAACAGAATTTCCTCTGTATAAACATTGTGTCCCATCAAATCTTTGAAATCAATGTCTTTGAAATTATAACGGCATCCTGGATATATATAAAAAATAAAATTTGTGTAATCATAACATCAAATGCTTTAAATTGATAGCCACATTGCCTTAGTTAATTTTAAAAGTCATGAGGAAATGTAGAGTCTGAGCTGAACGCACGAAAACGAATTTATAATAGCACGAAGTGTACTTTACGAACGTTTACGTATTTAGCTGAAATAAAAATTGACAATCCCATGTGAAGTGCTCTTCGGACCATGTGGCAACCTCCTTAATGATCTCGCTGAGAAACCGGCTAAATCTACTACTGTCAAATGTTTGGGTAACCGAATAAAACAATCTGGAGCACACGATGAGATAATTCATAAAAAGGTAGATTTTAAATAGAAGCAAGACTGGAAAATCATCCTCAGGTTCCAGATATATTGTTTATTAGTGGCAACAAGATGATGGACAAAGGCAATGCTAAACAGAGAGCACACAAACACATTAACAATTTTTAATACACAGGACTGAACATGTAGGCGGGCATTGTCATGTATGTGTGCTAGCGTCGTTTCTGCTGTACGCATTTTATTGGGACATGCAAATTCATTCAAGATCCCAACATCTTCATTCACGTTCTACTTCTCCTTGCAGACGACAGTATTTGTTATTTTTTTAATCTTGGGTAGCTATAGGAGTAACAACTAGGAATCAAATACATTTTATTTATTTACAGCACAGTTCAACACTGATGTTATACACTCTTTGACACCCTCAATAATTTTCCAACACCAACAACCACATGCGCCACCACCACCGAACACAAAATAGACACTGAAAATAATTTTTCCCTTCTGTCGAGGGCTTCCACACTAAAAATTGTTTGCAACGAACACCCCCAATTCCATTTAATATTTTCTTTTCTTTTATTTTCACAAAATACACACCAACAGAAATTGCAAGTTTACTGTAGACTTTGCAAAAGAAAAAAAATGTACACTATTTTACGAAACTGAACGAACGAGAACTGAACTTTGTGTTCTTTATAAAACTTCGGTTAGATTTATTGACCGATGGGCTTAGAATAATAAGAGCATTTGTTACTTCGCGCGCCGTGTAATTTTTCTAACTATTTTCTTTACAAAAGATAAATTTTCGTCTGTTCCGTTCAACGATTCACTTCACTCTGTAAAATAGGGATACCTCACTCGACTTTCGACTAATCGATTAGTTGTCTTTTTGTACTGAAAAGTCTAAAGGCGAGTACACACTATCATTTTGTATCGATTACTGACTGTCCAAAAGCCATGAATATTTTCGGGATTGCCTGATGAATGACGGACATAATCGGTCACATTATCAAACAAGCAGAATTTGTCTTTTGTTGGTCCATAAAAAGTATTTGCGTGTACCGCTGCAAATATTTAAAAATTAGGCCTTGAATGCCAATTTGAATTACTCTCTATCAAATTTGCACATTTTCGGGATATATAATCTTTACAGGGTTGTAATAAGTTATTTATTTGTATATGAATGGCTATGGGCTATGTCCAATTGTCATACAAAGTACGTCATAATTTATGTTTTAGCCAACAGAATTGCATCAGCTGATTGACATTCCTCCATGTCCAATATCGCCATTATGCATTACTCTCATTCGTAAACAATACGGTGCTTGGTCATTTTCTTACGAGTTCTTTGCATATGGACGCCCTTAAATTAGGTCTGTTCATTCAGTTAACGGCGCGCAAAAAAGAATTGGACGAGATTTGACATTGAAACTGAATTGGAATAAACCATCAATAGGATAGTCCAGGCAAGAATAAATAAATATTATATAATTATTGTTCATTGTGTAAATTAAGTTAACAAGATTGATTAAGGAATTTACCTTCCCCGTGAGATCCCCATGTCATTGAAACATTTCCTTTGACAGACAAACCATGCAAAGGCAAAATTGTCAATGGTGTATTACCCTCCACTAATTCCGCCAACTGGGGTCTAAGTAAATATATAGCAGACGCATAACTTCAATGAAAATGTCAAGTATATGGCTGAAATTTTACAGATTTCAGAAATTGTTATTCCAGTATTAATTACTCTGTAACTTGAAATTTTACAGATTTCAGCAATTGTTATTCCAGTATTAATTACTCTGTAACTTGACATGAAACAGTTTTCTCTCGGATGTAAAAAAATAAACCTACATATCTATCGGAAAGATTTCGAACGACAAAAACAAAACGTGGGTCTCAAATTTCGATGTAGGTAACTGCGTTTTTATTATATTCTAAGGTAAAAGTGAGAACTATTCAATAGTTGCTCATTTATATTGTCGTTGCTTGAGTCCAATATTTATACCATTCTCTGAACGCAAAACAATTTTCATTGAGACTTGGATGTCTTCACCTAGCGGCAATAATTCAAAGTTTCTCAGTATCTTTGTTAGAATAGTTCGCATTTCGTAGAGAGCAAAACGTTGTCCTATGCAATTTCTTGGTCCAGCGCTAAATGGTATGTTTCTGTAACCAGTCACTTTGACATTGTCGGTATTCAAATGGCGATCAGGTGTGAAGCTTAATGGGTCTTCAAAATTGTCAGGATCCCTCAGTATTTCCCAAAGTAGAATAACGACATTTGAGTGGCGTGGTATGGAACAATCATCTGGAAATAATAACAGTTCGAATTAGTTCTTATAAAATTCGGATCAAGGAATGCACCAGCATTATGTCAGCAACTGCAAGAATGTACAATTTTTTACTAAGATAACAATAGATAATAACAATACTACGATAAAATAGCACACATTAGTCGATTCTTACAGTACAGGAACATACCAAATATGTTACCACAACATAATGACATGTAAAGCATATTCAAACTCAATTTTCATTTACTCATTCATCTTACCCATTTTCAATTCTTTGTCCATCCAACGACCAACAGCTGGAATTGGAGGAAACAGACGCAGCGATTCTTTGATGACGCAATTCAAATAATTCATGTTTTGCAAATCTGCGTATGTGATTGAACGCTCCATGTTATCACCGAAATTACTGCGTATTTCTTCAAAAAGTTTGTCTTGAACTTCTCGGTGGCGTGATAGAGCATACAAACAGAACGATATGGCCGATGTAGTGGTGTCATGGCCTTCGAATATAAAGGTGTTGACTTCATCACGAATTTGTTTATCCAGCAAGGGTTGACCATCCACACGGGCTTGTAGCAGAACATCTAGAAATGTTAGATGTTTCTTTGCACCAATGCCATCAGAATCACCCTCTACAAGCGTTGTTTCATTGGACTCGGCATGTAGAACCAATTTCTTGCGTTCTTCAATAATCTTTTCGGTAAAATCGTGCATAATTTGAATTCCTTTATTTTGTTTCTTGAGCATTTTTCTTGCCAGCAGCTTGATAGATAGATGGGGACGTACGAATCGATTTGCCATTATATCTGTAACTCTAATTGAAACATTTCAAAATTCTCCCAGGTATTTTCACTTGAAAAACTTACTCATTGACGGCTTGAATGAACTCTGATTTCGAATTTGATTGTGCATCGAAAACAACTCCCATTGCCGTTTCTGCAATGAAATTTAGTTTAGTTTATACCAATAATACTGTGAGTCATTTTTAGGCCATAGTACCGACTATTATATCCAAGGTGAGCAGACCCATTGGCTTATAAATATTTATGGGAGTTATTCCATCAGCATTCGACTTCAGTTTGGCGATCAGAGTATCAGATTGACGATCAAATATCTCCACAAATCCTTCAAGTATTTTAAAATGAAATGTGGGTGTGATGATTTTTCGCATTGTCTGCCATTTCTTTCCACTACTCAGCAAGAGTCCATCGCCCAACCACCTTGAGAGCATTCTATACACCAAATTCTTCCTCAAATACTCATTGCTGCCGAGAATTGCGTCTACAACGCGATGATCCGTAGTAATCACAAATACCATGCCAAAAATATAAGCCGCAAATGTTTTCCCATAATGTCGAATGAATTCATGCCATTTCGTTTTATAATCTACAAAATGATTAGTAAATGGTAATATGGTAAAACAAACAAAAAAAATGACTTACTTTCGGGATTTAACTGTAAAAGTACCGTAAGACTTCCAATGAAAGGTATGTGGGATACCAAGGGGATATTTCCTAAGTTCTTTATGGTTTGTTGGCGTTTAAGGTAATCAGTTATGAGGAGTATTACAAATATGCCCAGAAGAATTGTCCAAACCATCTGTATTAAAGAAATTACGTGAATTTATCTAAACGAAAAAAGAAATGTTTATTGTGTTATTCGACAAAATGATTAGGTTTTGTATAAATTAAACATATTTTTGACTATTTTTAGTGTTAACTGCGTCCATGATAAGATACTGGCGCCATTGATATTTGCTTAAACAATTATAAGAACCGAGGCCTGACTACGTCTCTGGTTTGACATTAAATCGCAAATCGTAAAATACTCGCAGTTGTATCGTCATCCACACGCGCTACTCTTTACCTGGCGAATGTTTCTCTGCAATGTTGTTGGGGTTGTAGTATATTGCGTGCAGTCTCTTCAGTATCGATTTCGAACAAAATGCAAACAATCATTGATTCATTGTATTTATCAGTCCGTATCCGTTTCTGACTCTTTAGATACTTCGAAACATATGACGAATGTTGACAAATTTTGAATGAACTCACAAAGTGATTTTAGAAAAATAAATTTTCAATTTCACGAAAAACGATGTTGTTTTTATTTGTACTAAACGAATACTGAAAATGTTCAGAGAGAAGAGTGTTCACAAAGGCTAACAAGAAAATGCAAAAGCCCGCAACACTGAAATTGGCACACATGTGCTTGATGATAAGGCCTTTTTCCTCATTTATCGTCGTGAATACATTCATACTGCAGAAGATGTACAAACACACATGTCTGCATCGACAAAAATGGGTATTTTTAATAGTTCACCAAATGGCAATATGGCAATAAACAAACACGATTTAAAATATGTTATTCTCGCTTCGACCCTTCTATTTAGAAACTTGGACAACGATATCGTAAATTGTAGAGAATTTTTTTAAAGAGATTGCTTGCAATCGAGTTATATATTCCGATATCCAGGTGGAAATTATACTGATAGTCCTTTATGTACTTCAGATTCAGAAACAAATTTGTTTTATTTTACTAATTGTCTAGTTATTTAATTATTAACTCAATTTTAAGTACATTCGTCGATAGGCAGCAGTACCTTAATACTGTCTCGGTTTTAATCCAATGTGATTGCCATTGGCCGAACGCAAAATCAAATTCATCATTGGCCTAACCTGGGGACCCAACGGCAACAATTCATAGTATCTCAAAATTTTACTTATGGCACTCTTCATTTCCAAAACGGCAAATTTCTGACCAATACAATTTCTGGGCCCAGCCGAGAAGGGAATGTAAGCATAGGGATCAATTTCGGCAGCATTCTCACTTAGAAAACGTTCTGGTTTAAAAGCGTCAGGATCAGGGAAATATTTGGGATTGCGAAGGCATACGAAGAAGCCCATTGTAAAATTGGTACCAGCCGGAATCTTTTTGCCGCCTGCAATAATGAAAGATTATACAAAGAACATTTAAGTAACCGAGAGCATACTTACGTATTTCAACATCTTCGGTGAAGTAACGACCAATCATGGGTACTGGTGGGTAAAGACGCAACGATTCCTTTATAACGCATTCCAGATATTTCAGTTCACTTAAATCTCTATATGAAGCGGGACGATCCTTTTCGGTTCCCAAAACTTCGACAATTTCTTCCATTAGCTTCTTTTGAACTTCTGGATGTCGGGCAATGAGATAAAGGGCAAATGATATACCACTTGTCGTGGTGTCATGGCCCTCGAACATGAATGTGTCTACTTCCTCTCGAATGTCTTCGTTACTTAAGGGAGCACCATTTATTGTGGACTGCAAGAGCACATCCAACAACGCCATTCGTTTCTTCTGGCCAAGGTCATCCTCATCAAGAGATAAATTTTGACCGACCGTCTTTTGCAATGATTCGCGCCTCTCCATAATTATATTCTCTGTGAAATCGTGCATCAAACGAATACTTTCATTCAATCGTTTATATTCTGTCGGTGCAGTGACACGGAATATCCAATCGATACGATGCCAAACGTTGATGAAACGCTTTGTGGTTATGTTTGTTACTCTATTAAATACGAATGCAAATATATATATATATATATATTAGGGCGGGCCAATCGAATTTTGAAAATTATGTTATTAGGGAAAAAAATAAAAAAAAATAGACTCGAAAATCGAGATTGGTTCCTTCACCAAAGTTGCTTAGGGGCTGGAAAATTTATACATATATTAAAGAATCGGACCGTATAAGTAATATTAACCGTTCATTATACGCTCCTCAGAAAATATTCCCGATATACTGCCTGGATGACTAAACTTTTCTTTTAGATTTACGCCTATTATCGTGATTAAGTAGTCGTGTATTGTATGAAAATAGGTTAGTCCAAGCGCACATCAATTCAAATAAATATATAATGGTTAGCTCTTACTTACGTAAACACAGCCTGAACATATGGAAATTTAGGATTATTTTGGGCATTAATCTTGACTCCCATAGCAGTTTCTAGAAAAATCAATAACATTTATTTTTCAAAAATGTTACAGGTGAACAGAAAAAGCAATACTTGCCAGCAATGATGTCCAAGGCCATGGAACAAATAATTGGAAAGATATTAACAGCAGTTTCCCCATCGGCTTTGTCACTCAGCCTTTTAACCATTACCGTGCTTTGTTGGTCGAATATTTCCACAAATTGCTCCAGAATTTTGAAATGGAATGTTGGAGTGATAATTTTACGACGTGAATGCCATTTTTTGCCTAAAACCAGAGTTGGATACACTGTTAATACAATATACGCTTCAGTGCGATTTTAGTTCTAGACTTGCCTGTACTCATGAGTAAACCAGTGCCCAACCACTGATGCAAAAGTTCATATAGATTGTTCTTGGTTATGTGCTGGGGAGAACTCAGAATGACTTCAAGATCACGAGGATCCGATGAGAAAACAGCCAACTGCTGAAGTATCCATACACGATACATGTCACCATATTTTTTGCTATTGTTGGTGATGAAGGACATAATCTCTGAAGGTAAGTTAAGCAAATATTATTTTTGAAACACTTTAGTAATTTAAAAGACTACAACTACCAAATACAAATATATATTATATATTTTTTTAATTTTTGTACTCAGTTTTTCCTTAAATTTTTAAACCATTTTTTTATTATTATTTCAATTTACTACAATTTTGCAACCAAGGGCAAAAGGTCGTCTTTGTTACAGAACCAAACTTGACTTGATTTTGATTAATTTCTGAATGTATTATTAACTGACTTCATCTCAATTTCCCTCGCTTAATCGATTTATATGTTATTATAAATTGCGATAACGATAGAAACACCTTATCAGACAAACGTAGTTACGGATAATCCCACGACATTTAGTCAACCATTGAGATATCGCAAAAAATACAACCGCATCTCATTTGAGTGATACAATATTTATATTTTTCTATAAGATACGTAGGTATAGCTAATATCTAATAAATACCACTCGAATACTACTTACGTTCAGGGTTTTGTCCACGATAGGAAAGAACATTCCCCACAACCGGTAACGGTTTGGGTCCCTTCATATAACTTAACATATCATTGCGACGTTTTTTCGATAAATAGTCCCATAGCAAAAGCAGACTAAGAAACACAATAAGGATTTCTAAAAACATGATATATTGTCGTTTGTGTTAACCGCTCCCGCAGCTCGTTTTCATATACCGAAAACCGAAAATATACTAAAGTGCTAAGAACTCTTTCAGAGTGTCGTTATTTTTGTGTATTTACTGAGACACGAACAAATCTGAGAATAGAGCGCAAGATGTTTTCGTTATCAGAACTAAAACAACCATACGATAATAAACAGTGTGTATTGGGGTGCCACAACTGGAACAAAACCAACGAAACATTAGATATGGTTTTTGAAAACCCCATTTTACTGTCATTTAATTCCCACAAAAAACCTGAGTATGGGTTATTTTGTATTAATGGACATATTTAAGATTGACAATTATCAGTCATAAGCCAAGCCACCTTAATGTCATTCAAATTGTGTGTATACTTTTGTACGCCACCCTCTAATATCAAAATTGTAGTTGGATGAGTAACTTGTCCGCTGATCTCTTGTTTGTGCATTTGCTCTCATAACGTAAACGGGTATTACGGCAGCATCTTTATTCAGCTCTCTCTGTCTATTTTATTGCTAATATCTTCGGTCAATTTAAAACCAAGTAAAGAAGAATGTGAAATGAATAACCAGTATGTGTACATGCTTTGTTGGAATAAAATTTAATTTGGATTATGTTACAACATATGCCTGATATAAACAAGTAGAATTTAGACTTGAGTACAATATTTAAAGAAAACAGCTATTATTTTATTGTGATTTGCTTCTTGACTTCAGGCCCATTTGTATACCAGTTGCAGAACGTAGAATTAAACTCAGTGAGGGAATTACATCGGGCCCGATGGGTAGAAGTTCATAGTGTCGTAATATTTTACTAATGACACTTTTCATCTCCAACATCGCATACTTTTGACCAATACAGTTTCGGGGTCCTGCACTAAATGGAGTGTATGCAAATGGGTATATGTCTGCGGCATTTTCCGCAAAAAAACGTTCGGGTTTAAATTCGTTGGGATCTTTGAAATAGTCTGGATCCCTCAAAACCACAAAGAGTGGAACATTGAAATGGCAATTGCCAGGAATAACTACTCCGTCTAAAAAACAATAGGCATCAGGATTATTAGATATGTCAGGCTTCAGCCCAAACGGACTTATCATACTCACTCAAATCGGTGTCTTCTGCAAAATATCTTCCTATAATTGGTACTGGAGGGTACAACCGCATAGATTCTTTTATAACACACTCCATGTATCGTAGATTCCGCAATTGACGGTATGTAGGTGTTGCGACAGCATCCACACCGATTACCTCTGTTATTTCTTCTACGAGTTTCTTCTGCACTTCCGGATGGCGGGATATCATGTACAATGCAAATGAAGTGCCACTGGTGGTGGTATCATGACCTTCAAACATAAATGTTTCTACTTCCTCTCGAATGTCTTCATTGCTAAGGGATTTACCCTCTACCGATGCTCGCATTAATATGTCTAGCAAGGCCATATGTTTTTAGCCCCAATTGTCAGCAGCTCATCCTCGTCTGACTGGCTGTCTTCTGCGGTTATATTCTCCAAAGTTTCTCGGCGTTTTTCAATTACGCCACTTTGCGCCACTTTTTGCCCGTACTCATAAGTAGGCCATCACCAAGCCACAAGGACAACATGTCGTAAACATTGTTCTTTGTTATGTTAACCGGACTGCTGAGCAAGGAATCCAATATTTTTGGGTCGGCACAAAAAACTACCAGTTCGTGCAATATCCAAGTATAGAAAATTTTCCCATTCTCCCGTGAAAATTGGCGTATACGGTCAATGGAATCTAGATCAAGGACAACATGATGTATTGTATGATTAAAGTTTAAAAAAATGACCTACTTTCGGAATTGGCGCCGATCATTTGCAAAGCTCGGCCTACTAAAGGTAAATTGACACCGCCAGTAATGTTTGACCTTTTCAAGACATCATTGCGATGTTTTTTGTTAAGGTAGTCCCAGATCAACAACAATATAAATACTCCAACTAGGAAACACGCCCACATTCTTATGATTGCCGACGAAACGATACGCAACTAATAACGTGCTAACATAAGTGTATATGTAAGTATACGGGGATGCCTACTGATTAACAGCAAATATACTTGATATCATCCGCAACCAAGTTCTCAGTTTGAAATCGCGACACTACTGATCAACACATGAACTTGCTTTAAATGGAGAACAATAGCCGCTTGTGCAGAGTATGCTCAGACCGAGTTCATAACGAGAGCTACATTGATAACCATCATTACATTTGTTTATATGCCGAATAGTGGTGTCGATCGTATATTTTTTGCAAATCGCACAATTTTTTTTTGTAAATCACGGCACTGATTTTTTCTGTTTTCCACAATATTTGATATAATTTTCTTGCATTTGTGCACGATTTTATTCAATTCATATATTCAATTCATATATTAATTTTTATGGAGCTATAGAGCAATATGCAATGTATAATAGGATGAAATATATAAAATTAATTTTTAATTTTGTTTGTATCCGACTTCTTAACAACTTCAAATTGTGACACATACATTCGATTTTTTACTGGATTTTACTGGACGTTGTTCGATAACATATTATTTATGTTCGAAATTAAATATTTCGACAAAATATGTAAATAGATATCAGCTGGCCTTCCTAGGTGACCTAATGTATGGATCTTGGTTGGGAATAAATGGAATGAATAGTTCGTTATAAAAAAGTTAAAAATTGTTCGTCAACGACATCCCTAAAATGTACAGTTACGTAGTTCTCTTTGTATATAGTGATGCCAGTTGTGCGTTGTAGCCAGCGATGTTGTGTTCTCTTTACATTTTTGTCGTTAAAACGAACATTTTTGTAAGGAATACGTTTTTTTACACTTGCTTGGATATAATTTATGGTTTAAAAAAATGTTTAATTAATTACATTTCTCCGAATAATCGTTGTTTGTATTTTCCCTTAAGAATTTCTTAAGAGAAATTTTGCCCACCATTGTTTCAAATTGTAAACTCATTTGAAAAGAGAGGGAATAGCAACATTCGATGGAAGACGTTGTTGACTGAACAGTATCAGTTTATAATTTCTGACGGGAACATGCTATTCGAGTTGATAGCGGCCATACTGGCAGTTCTGGTGGGTTGGGACTACTTGCACAAAAAACAAAGAGATGCCTTCTTAGCAAAATCCAATATAACCGGACCAAAAGCACTGCCTATTCTTGGTAATGCCCTGCGTCTAATTGGATATAATTTATGGTTTAAAAAAATGTTTAATTAATTACATTTCTCCGAATAATCGTTGTTTGTATTTTCCCTTAAGAATTTCTTAAGAGAAATTTTGCCCACCATTGTTTCAAATTGTAAACTCATTTGAAAAGAGAGGGAATAGCAACATTCGATGGAAGACGTTGTTGACTGAACAGTATCAGTTTATAATTTCTGACGGGAACATGCTATTCGAGTTGATAGCGGCCATACTGGCAGTTCTGGTGGGTTGGGACTACTTGCACAAAAAACAAAGAGATGCCTTCTTAGCAAAATCCAATATAACCGGACCAAAAGCACTGCCTATTCTTGGTAATGCCCTGCGTCTGAGAAACATCAATACAGCAAGTGAGTCGGTTTTGGCGTTAAGTTATAAACAAGATCATTCGTGTTTATGTCTCAATGCGATCATCTCATCATCCAGATATCGAGACGATGTTAAAAGAAAACACTGCGAAGTATGGCAAAGTGTATCGTTTCTGGGTTTTCAATCAGATGCATTTGAGGGTCACCGATCCAAAACTTTGCGAAGCCATTTTAAGCAGCCAGCAACAGATTACCAAAAGCAGTTTCTATGATTTCTTGATCGATTGGTTGGGTCGTGGTCTGCTCTTGAGTAATGGGAAGAAATGGCATACCCGCCGCAAGATAATCACTCCAGCATTCCACTTCAAAATACTGGAACAATTTGTAGAGGTTTTCGATCAACAGAGTACCATTATGGCTAAGAACTTATATGCTCGTGCCAATGGTAGGACGGCCATCGACATGTTTCCTGTAGTGTGTCGCATGGCTTTAGACACTATATCGGGTATGACATTTAAGCCGTTAGAAATTTAATTTGTTAATGAGCCTCTTGGTTTATAGAAACCGCAATGGGTGTAAAGGTTCATGCTCAAAAGAACCAGGAATTTGAATATGTCAAAGCTCTGAACTAGTAAGTATGGTCCCCGAGGCCCAAGTGCGGGAAAACGAATATAATATCACTTGCTCGTTTAGTGTTTCCACGGTGATGTCAAAACGCTTCGTTAATCCCTCACAAAGAACATCATTCCTCTTCAAACTGACCTCACCGAAGATATACTGGGAGACACAGCGTTGCATAGAAATCATGCACAAATTCACCACTCAGGTAATAGAAAAGCGTCGAGATGCTTTAGAAAAATCAATAAGTAGGGGAACTAACAAAGGTAAGTCCATTACTAAACTGAAACAAATACCACCCTTTTCAATTGCATTGCGTAGTCGAAATTGCTGCTGAAGACCTGGAATATGGTTGCAAACAACGCATGGCTTTTCTCGACATACTTCTACAGTCGACCATCGACGGCGAACCACTGACCAATGAAGACATCCGTGAAGAGGTAGACACGTTTATGTTCGAGGGACACGATACCACCACTAGCGGCATATCCTTTGCCCTATATCTTATTGCTAGGCATGAGGATGTACAGGCTCGTTTATTTGAAGAAATTACGCAAATAGCTGGAAATGATCCCGATAAAGCCTTGTCATATCGAGACTTACAAGACATGAAATACCTAGAGTGTGTAATCAAGGAATCGTTGAGATTATTTCCCCCCGTACCAGCTGTTGGACGAGAAATTACAGAGGATGTGCAACTAGGTAGTGTTCCTCTGATACACAATTGCAATTAGCGCCTGTCTATTTCACCTTTTTCAGGTGATGTCGTTTTACCCGCTAAAACAAATGTGGTTTTGTCGTTTTCTTTGATTATGCGTAATCCGGATTATTACCCCCAACCTGATGTCTTTAAGCCTGAACGCTTCCTAGGGGATTCTATTTCGCACATCAACCCTTTCGTGTACACTCCATTCTCTGCAGGACCTCGCAATTGTATTGGTCAACGTTTTGCTATGCTGGAAATGAAAGCGACGATCTCGAAAATGCTGCTTCATTTTGAATTGCTACCGCTGGGACCTGAGGTGGAACGACTGACAACAATAGTATTGCGTTCAAAGACTGGAGCTCATGTTGGACTTCGTCCACGTTGTTTATAACATAACACCTTTGGTATCCCTCTTGCGTCGATCGTCTAAAATTATCCACAATTCAACGTGGCACCAATGAAATCTAATCTATATAAAGGAAAACAGTCCAATATTATCTGCAGAGTAGACTTATTTTTAAACTCATTATCTGTGCTGAATTTCGAATCGCAAAATAAAACACGGATCGGTTCATGTGAATAAAGGGAATAAGAATTAAAAATTCGCTAAAAAGTTATTCAAATTCAAATAGTATTTCACCAATATGATTCCAGCAATAAGGTTGGAGTTTTTGACCACGCCAATAAAATATTACATTGTATTAATAACCATTACATTACATTCTATTAATAACCATATTATCAAATAGAAATGTAGGTTTCGCTTTACTGTCAATATAATAAACATATCTTTATTGGAAATGATAAGACCTGTGTCTGCATATCGTTCCATTTGATAACAATAACACCGTTGCAAACATTTCGCATTAAACGGGACGGGAGCCACTCGAGAATATAAACAATCTTCGATCGGACAAAACATTGAACGGTTGTGCCACAAATTTGTCAGAATGATAATTGAAGTGATAGTGGGGTTGTTTACGTGCCTATTGCTATGTGATTATTTCTATCGAAAACGTTTTGAAGATTTATACAGAAAATCTGGCATTAACGGTCCCAGATATTTACCCTTTATCGGCAACGTATTAATAGCTTGGATTAACGATATATCCAGTGAGTTAAATGCCTATTTCTGCCAACAATTTATGGCCTTAGCAAACTGAATACGATTCTGAAACCCAGTTCTTTAATATCAAATAATACATCGTGCCGTCCAAATCACAGATGTTTTTGATTTGTTGAACCGATTATACAGTGAATATGGAAAAGTCTTTAAACTTTGGGTGTTTGGTGAAGCTGCACTTTTTGTGCGAGACGCAAAAATTTTTGAAAGCATTCTTAGCTGTCAACAGGTTACTAAGAAGAATAGACTCTATGCTCTGTTAGGGAGCTGGCTTAGCGATGGCTTGCTACACAGCAGTGGCTCAAAGTGCATTCTAGACGAAAAATTATTGCGCCAACTTTTCATTTTAAAATTTTGGAAGAATTCGTGGAAGTATTTGATCAGCAAAGTAGCGTATTAGTTAAAAAGTTGCGGGAGAAGGCCGTTGGAAAAACGGCGCTGAATATGTTTCCGATAATCTGCCTAACGGCCCTCGATATAATTGCTGAGACTGCAATGGGCGTATAAATCAATGCTCAAGAAAATCCCGAATTCCCCTATGCCAAGGCATTGTTGAGGTAAGATAAATGGTATGCTAGCAAAACTTGTTAAAAAAACGTCCTTCCAATAGTGTTGCCGATATTATAGGGACACGCTTCGTGAGGCCTACACAATGTTTTGACTTGCCCTATAAGATATTTGCCATCAAATCGTATTGCAAAATTATGAAGGGCATTAAAACGATGCAGGAGTTTACCGATAAAGTTATCGTTGAACGTAGAGCTGCCCTCGAGGAATCTTATAAATGGAGCACTTACCACATAGAGATGACACAACAATCAGTGGCATCTCCCATACCCTATACCTCTTGGCACATCATCCACACGTCCAGCAAAAGGTCTTTATGGAAATTATCGAAGTAATTGTCTGCGATAAGGACAAACAGGAGCTTAAATATTTGGATGCAGTTATAAAAGAAAGCTTGCGCAATTACCCACCTGTTCCAATGATTGGTCGTATTACCGAAAATTATGTTACACTAAGTACTGCCATGTTTCATTCTCTTTCGTGGAACTATTACATATAGCTTACTTTGATTAACCTGACTTTGCAGATAACCAAACTATACCGGCAAATGTGCACGTCAATATTTTAATATATGCAGCATGTCGAGACCCTGACTACTTTCCCAATCCCGATTCATTCGAACCTGATCGATTTTTCATTGAAGGTTCGGAAAATGTAATCCATTTTCGTACGTACCGTTCTCTGCTGGACCGCGCAACTGCATTGGCCAGAAGTTTGCAGTTCTTGAGATGAAGAGCACCATAAGCAAAATGCTGCGGCACTATGAACTTTTACCTTTGGGAGAAAAGGTGGTGCCGGTAATGAACTTAATTCTACGTTTAGCAACTGGTATAAATGTTGGCTTGAAGCCAAGAGATTACACAAACACCTAATATGCAAACAAAAATATATATTTATTTCAAAAATAAATGGCTCAATGTTCTGGCATGACAATGAACTAGTGCAATTTAATTATCAACGTAAAAACAGCGTAAAAACATTGTCGAAAGAGTTGTTTTGAGGAAATCCAGTATTGGAAAAACTCGTTTACCGAACGAGAAACAAACAAACGATCGAAATTTTCCGTATCTAAACACAACATGTTACAATGTTACACACTAGCATTACTAACATAGGCTGTCGTTTTCAATTTCCCCCTCGTTTGTTAAGAACACTGTTAAGTATAATGCCATAATTAATTGTTAACATGGAAGCTTTGTTGTTTTAAATAAAAATATGTTACTGTGTCAAGGGAAAAACACGCGTCCGTCTATATAGGTGTAAGTAGGACTCACTATATATATATATATATTATTTATCCGTTAGAAAATTTGTTTCCTCGCGATCATATATATATATATATATATACTTTACTCGTCTCACGTATTCAAGGGAACCAATCACTTATCAGTTTCTGTATATAAGTCAAGTTATTTAACATAGTGTGTTTAATAGGATGTTTTTAATTTGTTTCAACGAGGTCAACTTCATTGATTGTAAAATTTACTTAATAATGTTTTTTTGCTACAAAATGCTTCGCTATCGAATGCTTCGTACTTACTGATATTTGAAACAATGAATTCAGTTTGAAAACAAAATCGAACGCATCAATTACATATTCGCTTAGATCATACTTTAAATAGAGCGACAGAATGTTAACGCTTGTTGTAGTCGCCTGTCTTGTGTGTCTCGCGGTGTGGGATTATTTAATAAAACATCGACGGAATCATGTTCTTAGGATGTCCGGTATTGCAGGTCCATGGCCAATTGTACCCATTATTGGAGATTCGTGGGTAGCATTAGGAAATAATACATCAAGTAAGTAATTTTTGAACGAGAAATTAGAGGAAATAATTTGTGTTACTGCTTTCCAGATGTTTTCAATCTTTTTGCATCCTTGGGTAATAAATATGGTAAAGTCTTTCGTGTGTGGCTTTTCAATGAACTTATGCTAGTCACTAAAGATGTGAAATATTTTGAAACAGTTTTAAGTAGTCAGGCCTTCATATCGAAAGCCTTTATTTACGACATGCTTTCGCCCTGGCTAGGTGATGGCCTGTTGCTTAGTTCAGGCGCAAAATGGCATGCTCGAAGAAAAATGTTGACACCCACCTACCACTTTAAAATTCTAGAACAATTCATTGAGGTATTCGACCAGCAAAGTCGTGTTTTGGTTAAACGCCTTTATTCTGTAGCTGATGGAAAGACGGCACTTGACATGTTTCCAGTTATATGTCTTACTGCTCTCGACATTATTACCGAAACGGCTATGGGTGTTAAGGTCAATGCTCAGGCTCACCCCGAGTTTCCCTACGCCAAGGCAGTAAAAGAGTAAGTTTAAACACCCACAAGCCGAAATTGGTCCTATAATTGAATGTTTTCCAACTTTAAAGTGCAACAAATGTGATTGCCACCAGGGCCATGAAACCAGTTCAGTATTTCCAACTTGGATTTCTATTGACAGCTTTCCCATCATATCTGAAACTTCGAAAGAGCATACAAATCATGCATGAATTCACCGACAAGGTAATAGCTGATAGAAAAAGTCAACTGAAAACTGGATCTATTCGCAAGGCAGAACCAATGTCATCCGGTGAGTACATGTGTGTGCGTTAATTGCTTGGTGAGTACATTGGAAAATGCAACACACAAACATGTCGCGACTTCCGCATACAAGCTTTTTTAATTGGATTTCCCGTTTCGCAGCCGATTTCGTGGATGATATTGGACAAAAAAAACGGATGACTTTTCTGGATGTCCTCTTACAATCTCATATCAATGGGTGTCATTTGACGCACGATGAAATAAGGGAAGAAGTCGATACATTTATGTTTGAGGGTCACGACACAACGACCAGTGGCATTTCATACTGCTTATATCTGTTATCGCGTCACCCGCAAATACAACAGAAAGTCCTACAGGAAATATCCGATGTCGTAGGAGAAGATGTAGAACGGAGAATAACAATGAGAGAACTGCACGATTTAAAGTATTTGGAGGCAGTTATTAAGGAATCTTTACGGTTATATCCATCAGTGCCAATTATTGCACGGTATACCGACAGGGACGTTCAAGTAGGTATGTATACAGGTACTTGAAGCCGTGTGTTTGAATGTAATTTAATGTAACACAATCACAGATGGACAAATTATACCAGCCAACAGTACAGTGACATTATTGGTATATGCTCTAGCGAGAGATCCAGATTTATTTCCAAATCCCGACGCGTTTATTCCAGAGCGATTCTACAGCAATCTAGCTGAAAAGCACAATCCATTTGCTTACACGCCATTTTCGGCCGGACCTCGTAATTGTATTGGTCAAAAGTTTGCTCTTTTAGAAATGAAGACAACTATATCGATTCTACTACGACACTTTGAGCTCCTGCCACTTGGCCCAGATGTAGTGCCTCAAATGAATATGATTTTGCGCTCGGCTACTGGTATAAATTTAGGACTAAGAAAACGCAGCATTTAAAATTTGAATAAAACACATTTAGAATAAACATCCGCATATCTATTTCCTTTCTTAATCCTTTATCCATATTCACAATAAACACTATCGTAGCTGTCCGGTTTAGAAGCAAGCAAATTGAAAAAAAAAATAAATAAATAAAATTTTTCAACGTAATTGGATGTAATTTGGTATTTTGAGTTTTTATAGGGTATCAAATCTTCCTTCCGAAAATGTTGAATATTTTTATCAAATCTTCCTATAGAAAATTTTCTAAATTGGTACATTTTTTCGGTAATTTAATGAGTATGGTCACGTTTTTCATGTATGGTAATTCGGTACTTTGGGCTCTCATTGCGTAACATTTCTTTCTCCAAAAGTTATCAGTAATGGTCTACTCTTTGCGATAGTCCCCTTATAACGGTACCTCCCAATTTTCGGTATTTTGGGGAGTATGGGAATATTTTTTATCCGAATTGTTTGTAATTTCTTTCTCATGGGGTGTCAAAAATTACCATGGCACTGACGCGATAGATATTAAGTTAATACGCGATTACAAGTATTTTAAATATCGACCTCATGGTTGAGCGTATAAACGACGTTTTTTACTTCTTGAAATAATGTATCAATCAATCATCAGCATTTATGCATATCTAACTTACCTTACACTGGGGGAATTTACAAAATAGTTACATTCTGTGCATGAGTTGTGATATAACCTATATTGAAAACAGACAAGTCATTTGTAGAACCAGTTAGCTCTCATTTGATAGCATTAAACAATTATTATCATCCAACGACAGAGCAACGGTCATGTCCCTAGGTGCGGCGTATAACGGCTAACCGATACACCTATCACAATAATATTCGCACAAATACAAATTCCACATACATATAAAAATAAACATTTTATTATCAATGGAATCCAACTGCACTGTGGCATTGTTCAGCAACTAAGCACACATTATTATTGTAGGCATATTTAGCTACGTCAATTATTATATAAAAATATAAGTTCTAATTTCATACTATACAATTTATTATTACTTTGCACTTAACGGTCGACCACAACCTGTTTTAGCGGCCCGCGTATTTTCAAACGTATATTTCTAATTATCAGAATCAATTTATAACACGAACAGTTGTTTCTTAGCCTTTGTTTGTTGAGTAGAGACTAAAAAATGTTCCTCGGTATTTTATGTACTTTGTCTATTCTCATCACCATCGACTACATTTGGAAAAGAAGAATAAATAGAATTTTACAGGACATTCCTGGGCCACCTAACCTTCCTATTGTAGGGGCTGTATGGCTATATTTTAACACGAAACCAGATGGTATAGCCTAAACTCACTATGAGCTATCATCCACTAAGAAACTTAAGTTCTGTTTTTCCTCTACAGAACTTCTGAAATTAGGATTTCATATGTCTGGGAAATATGGACGAGTTGTAAAGTCGTGGATATTTCATATACATGCTCTCTTTGTGAGCGATGCAAAGTATATACAGGCTATTTTAAGTCACCCAACGGAAATAAAAAAGAATCGCATGTACTCCCTTTTAAATCAATGGCTGGGTGATGGACTCCTAACAACAAGCAACCAGCCAAAGTGGCGGTCGCGACGTCGAGCAATTACACCAGCATTTCATTTTCAAATATTAGATAACTTTATTCATGTTTTTGATCAACAGGCCTCAGTATGTGTCAAAAAAATAAGTCACCATGCCGTGGACCCAACTATAAGCCCGCATAGTATTGCATGCGATGAGCAGAAGTATGCCTTCGACATTGAACACTATATAGGATTGGCCACATTAGATGTTATATGCGAGACGGCAATGGGTGTAAAGATAAACGCCCAGACTCATGAACACTGTGAATACGTTCGGAATTTAATCGAGTAAGTAGAATTCAAATTGCGAATGCATTAGTCACTAACTAACCTTTATCTTCAGGATGCAAAATATTTTTACGGAACGTTTTGTCAAAATTGCATATAGATCAGAAGTTATGTTCAGAATATTCCAACCCAATTTGTATGCAAAATACCAAAGCGTTATGAAAAATCTTCACAGTTTCACTGAAACTATTATAAGAGAAAGAAGGCAGTCCAAAATTGACGAAATGGATACTGCGACAGGCAATGCCATTTCTGAAGGCGGTATGTTATGTTTTACAATTCAGATGAATTGAATTAATCCCGATGTGCGTTTGCGCAGTTTCAAATGTTTTCTATGGCAAAAAGAAAAGCATGGCTTTATTGGACATACTTCTATCCGCCAAAGTTGATGGCCGGCCACTGTCTGACAAAGATATTCGAGAAGAGGTCGATACGTTTATGTTCGAAGGTCATGATACCACCAAAAGCGGTCTCGGATTCACATTGTATGCCATATCACGAAATGAAGACGATCAACAAAAACTAAATGAGGAATTGATACGTGTTATTGGATCAAATGTCGACGAGCCTCTAACTTATAATAAATTGACGAACTTACACTATATGGACAAAGTTATAAAAGAATCGCTTCGTATGTATCCGCCAGTACCGTTTATTGGTCGTCAAACAATCGCAGATCTATATATAGGTGATTATCATAATTACATTATATAAATTATAAATATCATATCCATCCCTTCATAACTACTATAAATATCTATGATTCCATTTGAAAAAAAATGTTCGGTTAACTTGTTACTATTCTTATTTCTATTTCGTAGATAATCAATTGATTCCTAAAGGAACGAATATATTAATCGGCATTATGACCATGCAAAACGATCCTGAATACTTTACTGACCCCCAAAGATTTATGCCAGATCGTGGTATGCCCGAAAATAACTTTGTATTTGTGCCCTTTTCAGCAGGACCAAGAAATTGTATTGGCCAACGTTTTGCAATGTTGGAAATTAAGGCCTTTCTTACCAGAATAATTCAGTCCTTCGAACTACTACCTCTTGGGGAATGCGTTGAGCCTACAATTAGCATAGTGTTAAAATCGAAAAAACGGTTGGCAGATGGGATTCAAAAGAAGACATTAAGTAATATCCATGTCCGTCATCAATCGATGTATCAATTTTCGAAGATAACAAATAAAGAGCATATTCTGAAGCTCTTGTCCAACTCCGTTCTAAATGTCCATTTTCGAAGATAACAAATAAAGGGAATTAATTTTGAAAATCTATTATTTAACCATCGTAGTTTTAACAATAATCTGTGACCACATTTTATTTATCTAAGTTAATCCCATTTATAAACTTGTCCAGGTGTAGGCAAACGACTGGCAGCAGCCGGTTTAGTATCACCAGCGATTTTCAACTGTTCCTTTACCAAGTCAACTGGAGGTGCTACCAGACGGCGTGGATCTCGGCCGTGATAGTAGCAATCGGACCTCAGTACGGGATAAGGAATTTCTGGTGGTGGTTGGGTGCGATCGGCCAGACCATCTTCGAAGCGTAGCGCAACTGTGTGTTCCCGCTGCAAATAAACCAAAAATACAAATACATTGAATCTGTCTCACTGGAATACCTTTCTTACATAACTAAACACACAACTGCCACATTAATGCCGATTTCAACTTACGCCCAAAAGAAAAGCCCTTAAACGTTGTAGAAACGGAGCAATGTCACGACGTGCAGCCATTATTTATTCCCGCAAATACGCTGAAACAAACGCAACTTAATAGAACGATAAATTTGAAGAAGTCACCAACCAAACTAACCAAATTGACTTGCAACAAAACAAAAACTCACTAGAACAGATCGAAAAAGGCCAATTTTTTGTGGTTCAATGCATCGCACTTCAAATCTCTATTTTCAGATCATCTGTTTTTGATGTGTTATCAATTTAACTGGAATGCTATTCTTCTCTTCCGGTTGACAAAGAACAAAAGAGCACTTATATCCTATATCAAACTTCACAATGAAATGTAGACATTTTTTTTATATGACGACATGCTCAAGAAGTGCCCAAATGTAAATAAAAAAATGATCTGAAATGGCGTCAAAAATTAAGACATGTATTTTAGGGCTACCATTTTACTTGGAATGTCGCGTATGAAGAAGCAATGTTTTTCTCAAACCTTGGAATGGGGTCTCATTAACAAGTTTGCAAACAATTTAGGGGCAGTCAGTATCGGCCGCCGGCACAGAAGTCTAATTTGTTGATTCAAAATAAGTTCCACTTAGAGGCGGAAATAGGGAAAGATGAATCCAAACCGTGCATTGCCCCAGTCGAAGGAAGCGTTATTGAAATCCTATCAAGTGCGACTGAAAGATGACGTGAAAAGCATGTTGGAAAACTATGAAGGTAAGACAGTGACAAGTTGTACACATGTACCCAGATGTTCGATTGATCAAAGGATGCTATCTACCTACACTAATATAAGATTGATATAAACTTGTGTGCTCCTTTTGTCCCTGAGAATGTCCATTAATTGTATTGTTGTCAAAGAAGGGCGTGTCACTTTTCACATCCCTATTTTACAGTTTTGATAGCAAAGACACAGTTTTTTATAAATATCGATTATACAGAGGCTTATTTATTAATCATGTTTGCGTTTACATTTAAAATTAACTTAAAAAATACATATACGAATGTCCATCAGATGAATTCGGATTGAATAATGATTTACTTCTTCTCCAACATGTCCCTCAAGTAATCCAAGCCTTCGTAGAGACCTTTGCCTGTGGTAGCCGTTGTGGCATGAACATGCCAATCCTGCTTCAATGTGTGCAATTCCAGTCGCTTCGTAAGGTCCGCACAGCTCAGGGCATTTGGTAAGTCTTGCTTGTTCGCAAAGACCAAGAGCACTGAATTAGCCAGTACCTCATTGGACATCATCCCATGCAATTCTTCTTTTACGTCGTCCATTCGCTGTACGTCGGACGAGTCAACAACGAAAATGACCGCCGATGTGTTGGGGTAATAATGATTCCACAAGTTCCTTATTTTCTTTTGTCCGCCGATATCCCAAACTGTGAAACAAATATTCTTGTATTCTACAGTCTCAACATTGAAACCTATTGTGGGAATCGTTGAGATGACTTCGCCTATTTTGAGCTTGTACAGAATTGTGGTTTTACCAGCGCCGTCCAAACCAACCATCAGAATACGCACATTTTGCTTGCTTAGGAAGTTGTTCAGGAGATTTGAAATAAGTAGACCCATCTTCGTAGAAAATCGCTAATAATCCAATTATCAAATCACCGAATTTCTTTTCTAAGTTCTTTCCTTTTTTAAAGTAAATACTGCCACCAAACTTCTTTTCACGAAATCTCTCTTTGTAAAGTTCTCTGACTGTCTGACTGACGTGGTAGCAATCAGCTGTTGCCGTCGCCATTTTGCTGCTAATGTCAATAGAACAACTGAAGAACAATCCATAATGCAGAGATGGGCGTTGCTCAACTAAACGTTTTATTTTTCAGAAATTATTAAACTGGCCAGAGGTGAAGGCGACTCGCAAATATCGAAAACCACACAATGTGAGCAGGATACGTATGAAATGCAAGTCCGTGCAGCCAACATAGGTAATGTTAGATGAAAAAGAAGTGAAATATTGATAATAGTAAACGGATATTTTCAGTGCGTGCTGGCGAATCGCTTATGAAACTGGTTTCAGATATTAAACAGTACTTGATTTTAAACGATTTCCATTCCGTTAATGAGGCTATTGCAAACAACTCGCAGCTATTTCGCGCCACACAAAGGGATTGCGATAAAAAATTGATGAAATTACGTGATGAGATGGCAATGGACTTGTATGATCTAGAAGAGGAATACTATACCAGTATATTCAAATAATACTATAACTTAATATTCAATAAAATTATTTTTTTTAATCAAAGAAAATCTTTGCGTACATTTGTAGGAACATATATTACACATAATATAGAAAAATCGCCCCCAAAAATAATTTAACCCATGGCACAATGAATAGGTAGTCCATTTAGCGCAGCTGATGTCTTGATTAACTGTCAAAGTGGGTAATTTCTACTTGAATTAGATGTGCAGTGTTGCCAACCATTTGAAATATTATATAGAAAAATTTGACAGATAATCGAGACAAAAACAAAGGTTTTGTTTTGATACATCACCTTATTATTGCATCATGGTTTAACCCATGTCAAAATATTTGGTTTGAAAGTATTCTTCAATGTGAACCTCTTTTATTGTACATTGGCAACGCTATATTGATGATCGACAAATCGAGTACACCTCCGAATTTCGACTTAGATGTCCCCAGACATAATCAGTTTTGTGTTGGTTTTGTGTCATCAATTATGTGTTGGGCCCTAATTCATGACATTTGTTGGCAATTTGTGTATTTTAGTTCAAATCGTTCATTGGCACAATTTAATTCAGTCAATCAACGGGAAGATTTAGGTGAACGATTGGATCGAAACAAGAGAACTAGGGGAAAATAGTAAAAATGAACGATAGGATCAAATGGAATTAACGGAACCAAAGAACCTGACCTCGTAACTAGTACCGACCGCTCCGATCGTTCATTTCACAGAGTAGTTTCTTTCAACTTGTTCAGTCAACGATTTTTTAACAATTAAACCTGTTCCAAAGATAAAGATACAAATTCGAATTCTTTGGCCCCATTAATTTTCCAACGACAACAGTTGACATATCCGCCCACCATATTCCCCGCAGTTTAGATAAGAATTTAAAAATTATAGAAAATTTTGTCTGGCAAATTTTAATTATTTAAAATACCTTTAAAATTATTTAAAATGTAATGTAAACTTTATAGTTCTAAATATTAAAACACAAATGACCATAAGCGACTGTTTGGCTGTGTGGCAACCCGCAGAACGGAATGAAACAATTTTTGTCACTTCTTCTTCGCCTTCTTTCTAAACATGACGAGTGTCACGGCGTTGTTCTTCACACTCATTCGTAAACTTGATGAGTGTCTTCCATTTACGTTTTGATAGGGTCTTCATCGGCTATTCTCTCCTGTCTCACCAATTTTCCATGTTCGAAACGTTTTTATAATAGGGCGGTCTTGTTTTTTGCATCTGACTAAAGGCCTGAACACGAGACCAGAGCACGGGAGGAACAAAATCGTTGTTTTGAATGGTATGATACTCCTCTCCATTGTAACAATTACAAATGTTGAAAATAATCTGGGCATACTTTGATTTTTCAGTTGTAATTCCCTTTCTAATCTGCAGCCATGAATTTCCTGAGGCAAACATTCAATGTTACGAAACAATTGACTACGCAAGGTAGGTTTGTTTTTTTTTCTCTTATAGTGCACACCTCCATTCCATTGTATATATATTGGAAACCTCTGCCGTTGTTTTCACAAAGTTGTGGACAGAATAAATTAGATACGTGCTAACTCCCTTAGGTTTATCCCACCACTTGCAAAATAACTTGCTAAATAAATCCATCTCTCGAATGCAGAAAATTTTAATTGGGAACCGAAAATGAGCGGCAAATCGACTTCTGCAATAAATCGTAATTTTAGCTATCAATAGCCCCCATTTTTTCGCATGTTTTCCAACCGAGTTGGCAGTAATTTATTACTTGGAGTTTTCATTAGGTACCAAATCTTCCTAATAGTAATTATCGATATCGGTCCTTTCATGATGATAGCCACCATATTCGCAAGTTTTGGAACGATACGCAATCGAATTGGCTGTATTTCGGTACTTTGAGTTCCCATTGGTTAGCAAAAAAAGGAAGAAGTAACCATTTTTTTTTATTTATGTATTATTAGTTTTTAGGACATTATGTCATTGATACCACTTTTTTGGCATTTGGAATAAATAAATGAATAATACTCCCCACTATATATTATCGGTATCGGTCCCCTTTTTATGATAGCTCCCAAAGCAAATATCGATGGAGTTTTGAGGATAGCCGGCATATAACGGTATCCTCATTGTTTAGGTTTCCATTGAATAGCAAATCCACCTACAAAAAATGTCGGTCTTTAGTCGAATTCACTGCAATAGGGTTTTTTACGTTTTTAGTAGAATTAATGGGTCGATTACGGATGGAAACCATAGTTTAGTGGCGTTGCCAGTAGCCAAATTTGAATTATGCAGGCAACTGTTGTCATCTTCAGTTGCTTCAAATAGAATTTTTCGGCAACCATTTATTTCTTGTTGTTGTTTAGTCGTGTTTAACAATAATAAGTGAAATTTGTAGGTTTAATGGTTAAAATTACTACAAAAGAACAATTTGAGGTCTTAATTGCCCGGATGGAAGCTCACATAAATGTAGCACGCGGCGTGCGGGCTTTTGGTCAAACCAAAGCCACTACCGATGATGTGTGGAAGGCCATTTCAGAGAACTTTAACAGCTTTGGTCCACCAACACACACTCCAAATGAATGACAGAGCGTGACGAACATCTTCTTTTGGGCCCTTGATATGTACGTGAGTGCACTCTATACATCCGACAATACCCGGGAACTTTGTTTTCGAATAAAAAATGTTTATTCTTCCCTTTTTCCTCCTTTGATAATTTGGAAACAATCCAAATTTTACAAAGTTTTTCTTCTATTAGCCGGACAACTTCGGTCAAAACCACCGATATTGTGGGTTGAAGCATGCCATGGTTGAAGTCATTGCCATGGGACTTTTGAAAACTTCCCTCCGCAAAAACCCTCAGAGCTGCATACACTTTTAAGAGAGGAGGAATTGCTGTTGGCCGCCGGTCTTTTCGGAAACCAGGGTTTATTGCTTCAACTAAGTACACAATGGCATCTTTTGTTAGTCGAAAATACGCCTTGAAGCTAAAATGAGCAGTTGATTGAACATTTCTGTAGACATAAACATCTACGCACAGTACGGATCAAGGCACATATATCTACCTTGGTACGGATAGTAGTTTTAATGGATTGAATTTATCTCTTAAATGCCTTTTAATAGATGACACGCCTTGCACATCATTAAGAAATAGTTCCACTGAGCTTATATCAATTAAAATTAGTTTTTCTGAAATATTCTATTCAATTTTTGTTTACAATATTTCTAGTTAAAGAAGTGACAAAACAGTATTATCGACGGCAACTAAGAAAAGTTGATATACATAATGTTGCTAGTTGAAATCCCAACTGGAGTTTGGTTGCTTTCCAAAATGGACCCATAATTCTAATTTGATTCTTATTGGGTGTCAAATATTCCTACCAAAATAAAATGCCAATTTATTTTGATTTCCTGGAACAAGCCACCTTGAGAAAAAATTGTAATCGGTTGGTAGCTGTGCCCTACCTTGTAATAATTATACCATGGTAGAGAGTATAAAACGTTTTTTCCCAGATATGTTCTTTATGTTGATATATCTAGAATCTGAGAATGTTTTCCGTATTCTTATGAATGTAAACTTAATTTTTCATTCCTTGGGATTCATAATAGGCGTTCGCAATTAGTAATGAAGTTTTGTCTTGTGCGGTTTCTTCTCGAGCTATACCTACTCAAAATATACCACATTAATATATATATATATATATATGTATATAAACATATATATGCATCAGATACAACAACAAATATTTTACCAAACCAACATTGTTGTTATAGAAATTAAATTGTCATGCTGACAATTTGTTTTTGACAAATATAAACAAAAACAATTAATAATTCTATTCTTTGAAGAATATTTAATGCATTTGTGTATTCTTGGGGTTTTAGGTGAGTAAAAAGTAATGTTTAAGGCCCGGTCGCGATTAATTTTGAAAAGTTTCTCACATACAGCCCTTGGTTCCTTGTGATGTTTTTATATTGTAAATTAGAATTTATTTTTTCGAGGAAGTGACATCAAATATCGACTTCTTATAGAAAATTTAAGAGACATAAATTCCCGGTCAACGACTAAATCAAGGGAATTGTGTTTACCGTATACAATCTGTCCATATGCGTTTCTAACTTCCGCCGGAGATTTTAGCAAACACTAATATAAGTTACGTAACATAATCGTATGGATAGCTGAGATTTATGGACAGATTTCAGCACATAACATAAAATATGTGACCAAATCAGCGAACGGGGTTAAAACTGATTTAAGCCTAAGTTTCCTTTTTATTTGCCTATTAAAAACACTAAATTTAAAGACAAATTTTAAAATCGAAATGAAATATTGAAAATGTGGTTGACAATTTTCTTTAGAAACAATAAAGAAAAAACTTTAAAACCATATGATTGTCACTTACCCCTTATTAAATACACCTTGAAACCAAAATAAAAAGGAAACTCTTTCACTTATTCATTATATTTCTACCCGTGCCATCAAGAACATCTGTGTTTACGGTTTTATTTGTCACATGATATGTGTCGCGCTTCAGGCAAACGCCAATCAAATCTCAAAAACATATTGATCACTGCGAACTTATTTTTATTAGTAGAATGATATGGCACATTTTGAGCACGATCATTTCTTAACTATTTTTTTTCAATCCTTTTCTTATTATCGAGAAGAAGAAAAACTATTTACTTTATTTTTTGAAAGAGGGTATTTATAATTGGAAAAAAGTAAAAAAAGGTTCAATAATAATGTGATGAGATATTAAGGATTTGGTATTGATTCAGTACAGTCACAAACGGCGAAATATGGTATTGCAATTCTCCAGAAGACAATGGACTCTCAAACTCTCACTCACAAAAACCACACATGTTGTGTGAAATAATGGTCAAATTCAAATTTGCCCATCAATTCGACCACCCATTGTGTGTATGGGAAATTACAAACGGACTTAATCCTTTCGATGTGTTTGTCTTTGCTATTGTTCAACGATAAAGTGGTCATGGACACACATTGCACACCAAAAAAGGGATGCAAATGGACAAAAGGAACTTGAGGAATTCTAATAACGCAATGCAGTGGATTTGCATGCCTGAAAAGGACAATGAAAAAAAAAAACAAAGCATGCACATATATGTAGTTATTGAAATTGTTGCATAGTTGGATACATTTTTTGACACTTTCATTGTGAAAATCTACAAGTAGATTCGGATTATTAACGACAATAATAAACGTTGCTTTGAGCTATTTGTTATGCTTAGAACACCTGCATCAACTGGGTGACTTTTAATATTTTTGAATCAAAATCAAATTCCTCCCATATATTGTGGATTATTTATTTATTCACAATAATTACATAGTCGAAGACCACGTTTCAGAAAGCTCTTATTAATACACTTGTTCTAAAAATAATATTAATATCCTCCACATATAAAATAAGACAAGTAACATTTTAACAATCACGATAACCATTGCGGGCCACGAATGATAAATCTACATTTCACTAACTTAACTAGCAAAACTAGTGGACGTAGCAGTTACCTAGAAAGATCGAACTGAAAAAGTTCAATATACATATGTCATGTCATCGTGGTTATTAAAACATAATAAAAAATAATGATTAATAGTTATACAACTGTTATCAGAAAAAGGGATGGAATCTATTCAAATAACAGCCAGAAATCTAACTTAGAGGATCTTCGGGTAATTCTACAACTTACGACCAAACTCCTTGGTTTTGAAAAATATGTCATTTACTTTTTTTCTTTAGTAAATGCTTGTTTGCTTCGTTTACAGGGTTAATTATGTTAACATTTTGAACTAAATCCTTCAAAGCTCATTTAAAAACGGAGGAATATATATTCAAGCTACAAAACCAATCGCCAAACATTTTTTATTTGCTCTCACAAAATAGAGAAAACAAAATATTTGTACTGATAATTGACATGTATATAAAGACAGTTTACGTTAAACACTGTGAATTTGGGAATTTGCGGTATTTTATATTTTACAGACATTCGCCACACAAACCACAACATAAACGAGTTAAAGTGTGTCCAACGCGTGTTAAATAGTGGTTTTTATTTGGGGATGGTGTCTCCTTATTGCAGCGAGTAACAATGCCTGACAGATGCTGCATTCTAATAATAAAACCCAGAGTACATAAATCGAATACATAACGGATTAATGAGAGGAATATTTGCCCAAACAAAATAGAATGAAACAGCTATAAATTGTCACTTCTTTTTGCAACAAATATTTATCTGTACGTAGGCTCAAACCAGCCGGTCTATTAACTCGGACAGACACGAGCATGGAAATATGAAATGTGCATTTTTAATGGAATGTGATTGCTATTGTTCTAAACAAACTCAACATAGAGTTCGGTTATTCCTTTTTCGACTTAATCTCTGTGAAAAATCTGCAGTCATTGTCGAGTGATGGTGGTCAATGAGAAAATTCAGTTGTCGTCCATTTGCACGCATACGGTTTTTTATAATTACCACCAAATGACGTTTTCTGCAACATAAAAGGCTAGATTCCACGGCGTGATTGATAGATATTAATCTCGACGTTTCTCTTTGTGTGCCCAAACAATGGCATTTGCGATTGACCCTTTTCGTTTTGGCTTGGACTTTCTTTTGAAAAAGAAATGCGGTCTTAGTGGAAATTGTCTCTTATGAGTATTTGCGAGCCCTGGTACGACCATACTTATTAAATATTTGTTATTTTGGAAACGTGAAATTTCCAAATGCATACAACGTGCTCTTTAATAGAGCTTGATACAAAAGTCCCCGAGATTGAATCATTGCTATACACCTTGGTGTGCAGTCTGGATTGGGGTAATTAATGTATTCTTTATTTCTTTCAGTCATAAATAATTCCATGCAACAAATGAGAGAAATGGCCTCATTGTCTCAAATGCATCGTACCGGACCCCATGTTAAGATACGTCCTCCCCGCCAACCTCTGGATGGTAAACCATTTGCCAAAGGCGTTGTTCTGAAGACACTTATCAAGAAGCCGAAGAAACCCAATTCGGCCAATCGCAAGTGTGTATTGGTGCGATTGTCTACAGGAAAGGAAATGGTAGCATATGTTCCCGGCATCGGTCACAACTTGCAAGAACATAACATAGTTTTATGTCGCGTGGGTCGAGTTCAAGATGTACCCGGTGTAAAACTAAAATGTGTTCGTGGAGTTTACGATTTAAATCATGTTATTAAGAACAAATAAAGGCACTAATAATTGAAACACATAAAAATATTGTAATTTTTATTCTTACACAGAGCGGAGAAAAATTCTACGTAGTGACATCCAAATTGTAGTTGGGTTCAAAGGTAGGAGGATTGCATTTTCCATATATGTACTTAAGTCCTTTGCCTGTGCCTATGTGTGTGTGTTTGTGTCTAGTTATATCTTTAAGTCAACAACATCTTTTTGTATTAAATCCTTGCTTTGTTGTTTGTTATTGTTGCAGACCTCCCTCTTACAAGGAAATAATGACAAAACGGGATTTCATTTGTATTTTTACACTTTTGGCATAATCTTTTGTGGTTTATCTATAATTTAATGCTCTTTGCTTTGTTTGTCCTTCAGTTTTCATAATTTTGCATGTTCATTATTCGTTGAATAACAATTGCCAGTCCTACCAATTTGATGGTAAATTAGCTATTGTACATTTGCTTTTCTTAGGATTTATGTCTCGCCCATACGCCTATTTTTTACAGCAATTGATACCCAAGTCGTATATCCCAATTTTCCAGTTAAAATGGGTGGCATTTCTCGAAGATGTATTTGCCTCAATACACAGATGAGGAAAATAAATTGGACTTGGGCGGTGTTGTGGTGATCCGCAATACTACATCATTCAATCCAGAATAAAAAGTAATGCTGGATAATGGAATTTTTAATATCTTCCATTCTCCTTTGATAAGGATGATGTGTACGCCTTTTGTACATATATATATATATATATATATATGGGAATACGTCCTGACTCCGAATCCATTCGAACCCACCTAATAATTAATTCAAAACTATCTACATGTTCTAAACACCACGCTAAATAAAAAGATATCAATAGCAAACAAAGCGAGAAATGAAGGAAAATTTGTTCTTGAAGAAATAATGCCATCATATTTATTTTTTAATTTTATACGAGAAATTTTAGGAATTTTCATAGAAAATTAGACAAATAATGTATACATCCTGTGGATTATTATAAGGCCTTTCAAATAAATCGTGTGACTCTATAAATATGAATACTAAAAGTATATTGTGAAAATATGCTTTTTAAATTGCGTCTAAATCGGGTAATCCATGACCAAAAACTCGTAAAATGCAAATAATTAATAATGCCCATACGGCTTTAACGCGCATCTGATTTCGATATACACCCTATACATCGAAAAAATGTAATGAAGTCCACAATATTTTCAAATGACAGGTATAAACATTTCGCCGGAAAATAGGATTTTAAGTAGTTATGATGTGATAATATGTTGAGCCGAGTACAAATAATTGTATTAATATTATAATACAATTAAAATTATATCTTTGTAACAAACTTTAAATTGGCCACATGAATTATAAATTGGCTTCAATTGCAAAGGAATGATATAAAATAAAAAACAGAATGTTCACCTTTGGATGGATATCACTGTGGTTTGGAATATTACATACCCAATATATATATATATATATATATATATATATTGGATATGGTATATAACATACCAAATATATATTTTGGGTATGTAATATATATATATATAACAAATTACTAAGATTGGGGAGTACAACAATCCTGTAATTGATATTTTGTAAATTCCTGTTTGTGCATTGAAACATAACATGTCACAATTATTTAAAAGTAAATGCAGATAAATTTTCGAAAAAGGATAAATAAGGGAAGTACTCCTTATTTTGTAGGTTTTTACTTTAGCACGAAAAATGCTGTGGCTTAGTCAGAAATCGAGACAAAAAAATACAAAATCTGGGTTGCTTCACCTTGTTTTACCCATTTTTTTTTACATTAAAGTAGATACAGCTTCCACACAAAACTTTGGTGGCAATATCATGAAAAGTTTGCAATGACAGATCAATTAATCCAAAAATATTTAATTTTTCTAAGTCTCGTGTTATTAAGAGGTGAATCTCGGTTTCAGCTATGTTTAAAACTTGGGAATATTGTATATATATATATATGTACATGCATGATATAATAATACAAGCAATATTAGTTCTTTGATCGTTTCTAATGATCATTTCATTTAGAAGATCGCCTTTTATTCGTTTTCAATATTAATATTTTTTTAAACAATTTTCAACCCCTGTGGAACTATGCTGCGACTTACAATGTCCTGAATTTCAAAAATTTTGATTGGATTTTTCCCAAAAATCTCATCACTCTAAAACCCCCCTAATATTTAAAACTGCACAAAAAACCGAAATTATGGGGAACCGTTATACGGGAGCTACCCGTAAACGTGAATCAATATGATTGAAAAAAACCGAACCCAAACTTCTCAAAATACCGACATTTTGAGGGCACAGTTTTATGGACATATCCGTTAAAGGGGGCCAATATTGATTCGGTTGAAAAACCTGCCGAAACTCCCCACAATACCGAATTTGTTTTCGGGGAAAAATTAGACCAATGTTGATCATTGTTGGTAACAAGAGTTGTCACACAATGAGAAACCATATCAAATTACAGCTATTTAGGCTGAAATCGTGTGAAATATCCTCAACATACAGAACATTTACTTAATGATTAATTTTATGCTGGTAACTCTAAAATTCGTGAAGAAGAAGCGTTATATCTTGTAGGTAATTTTTGAGATGTCACGTCATGTTCAATGAATCTGGTAATGGACGCATATTTTAGCATTTTTCTATTTTCTTTAAATTAAAAAATTAGAAATTATTAAAAATATCGAGTACGCATTTAATTTTGCATTCGATTGTTCAAAAATGACGCATATCTTACGAAATTTATATCTGATATGTTCAATTTATTAAATGTAACTTTATTGCTTGGAATTTTAGTCTAGTTACTTCAAATTGTAGGATATCTGTCTATATTTACAAAAAAAAAAAGACTGTATATATACAACACATTCAGTTAGTTTAAATTATTTTTTTATTTTTGTGACATTTACGAATATTTACTGGAGTAATTTGCTCAGTCCGTTTTTATTTATTAAAAAAATAGCATATAATTTTTTTTAATTTATATTGTTTTCACGATATTCTCGATTTTAGAAAATGGCTGCCGCTTGCTGTGTCGTACAATTAATGCGGAAAGCGGAAACTACCCGTTTTTATTCAACCAATCAGCGACGTAAAACCAAACCCACCTTTTTGTTCGTGTTGTGCTTGTTCGATAGTTACGAGACAATTTCAACAAATACTTCGTTGTGAGCGGTTTCGTTTAAAATGGCGATGGTGAAAATGGGGACGACTCCTTGCAACATGTTCCTTTCTCTAAAATTGGAATGCTTGGCGAAACCATAAACTCATGTATGTATACTCAGTTTAGATATGTACCTTGCTTTTTGATCCCGATGTTGTAGTCTTATCTACTTTAAGTCCTAGAAGACATAGGGAACATTTCTTAAAGTTTTACTTCTTACAAAGCATTTCAAAAATCTTGATTGATTTTGTTTAATTTTTAGCAACATATATATGTACATATATACTATGTAGGTGCATGCATATTAGATTATTAGGAAATTAATTTTGTATTGGATTTCAATAACCTGGTATAATCCACTATGTCCAATGCGTTCTTAAGGTGAAACGATGAAATTACAATGGGCACGTCGTCACAGATTATTACATAGCAATTTTCTCATTAACGTTGAACAAACTTCTGTAAAATGTTGCAAACAAAGATAGGGAGATCCGTAGAGGACACCATTCTTTGGAAATTACATGCACCGACTGAACAACAATGCAACAATTTTCCGACTAATAAGCTGGGCTATTGTGCGACACGGCATGACAGACCTTCACACATTTCTGCGGGACCACATCCTACCGCAGAGGATGTGTCCGAGTGGGACATCATTCTTACCATCACAACATTGTTTGAGTTGACTCAGCAGAAAACCGTTCACAGGGAAAACAAACAAATTATACTACAAGAAATGCCATGTCCTTAAATGCGTAGTAGTATCCAGTTATGATGTGTGTTGGCTCATATGAGGATCAATTGCCGTTAACTGGCAAATGTGATTCGAACTGGCGGCACTGGCCTTAAGATCATCAACTACGGCCGAACTAGCCACAATGACTCAAATACCCGTTAGTTGGAATGCTATGTCGCCCATTGTTTACGGAACCTATTGTGGTCATTTGCACATTGGCGGCAAGATTTGATATTTGCCAAAGTCATAGTGGTCAATTATGATTATTGCAGGCAGACGCATGGGCAAAAAATTTCCCTTTGTTGGTTTATAGTCAGGTGGCGGACATTACCATATTGCCTTCTAACGGCATTCTATTTTTTATTTATTTTCCATGTTAGTGCGTTTGCTTTGTCACAACGATGACATTCCTGATGATTCCTCTGAACTGAAGATTGTCTTTGATCGTAACTTTGGACGAATAATCTGGAAATGGCTAGTGTTCCCAAATTGACATCTACATATTCTCTTGTTCACGTTTATATCAGTAATATTGCCAATGTCACCAAATACCTAAAATGCAAGGGCTTCGAGAAATCCACTTTCAAAACGCTGACGCTTCAATTTTTAACCCTCGTTCATAATTCGTTGGAATTATGTTTATAAGTAATAGACCATTTTAAACCTTTTTTCTGCCAAGAAGTTTTTAAAACCACAAAATATTAGTTCTATGCCCTCGTCATAACTACGGGTTGTCATAAAACTTAGTATGGACCAAAGCTTGACAAAGACGATGATCGATAAAAGTTTGTCCAATACAATGGTACTATGGTAAATCAGATTTATGCGTACGTGTATAGGTATTACATGAGATCCCAAATACTAAATACTATTATTTATACATGTATACTGATAATGTTCGTTCGTTTAGATTTTGATTCGTGAGTTGTTTTTTTTTTAATGTTTCACTTCATATTGGAGAGAAATGAGTTTCGTTTTATCTTTTGACCCCAACTATAATTTTGCTGTAAAAGAAACTCATGTTCCAGCCAGCACCATCCAAATATATAGACAGATGTCGGGAATCAACAAACTAAGTAC